ACTTTATATTATTAAAATAATTTTATTATATGAAATGATTACTTTTATATAAACACTTTAAACTGGTCAAATAAACTTTCAGTAGGGCCAGTCTTCAATAATGCTGTTTGCGATAACTAGTTTAAGTTCAACAAACTTAAAACAGTCCAGAATGTAAAACCTTTCTAGCGAAAGAGCGCCATCTAGTGTTAGAATTGTTACGTTCAACACGAGAGAGACAAAGCGATTCACAATGCCCCAGGTAAATACATTGAAGCTGGTATTTGAATTTTTCACTTTCCAAACAGAATGGAAGAAATCGAATCCATTTCCGTAAGTCAGCCCATCAAATTTCCTCTTCTTTCCTCTTCTCTCTTTCACCTGTCCACGTTTGGTGAACACACGCCGCTTTCTCTTCAGCCAACCAGCAATAACATGGCAGAAGTTTGTCGTCTGCACCGAGTTAATGGAAATTTAATGACTGAAATTTCCGTCATCCAAAGTGAATGTGGTTTAACTCCTTACGCGGAAGCATCTTCGAACGGGCGTCAGTCGGTCGAGCCTTGAGCCGGCGTACACTACTGCTTCGATTACTCGTACCTCGATTTTCCGGACACCGATTATCCGGATGTGAAACAAAGTGAAAAATTGAAATTAGTCGAACGTTTTTCAATTATCCGAAGTAAACCCATTGTAATATTTCATCCCAGACAAGCATTTTGAGATTTTTAGACAACCATACCCGGCCGTTGATAAATATCGACAAATGTGCAGGGATACAAAAATGGTGGAGATGAAGTCACGTGGGTCCCGTGCTGGACGCTTAGTGACGTCAATTCATGCTGTGGCGAAAGTAGCAGTCAGTCAGCCAGACAGCTTCGTGGAGTCAACACACGAGTTGACGTCCTGCTTCGGCAAAACCCCGGACCAGCCAGCAGCACATGGTGCAGCTTACAAGCTTATGGCGCCTCATTCCTATCGAAATACACCTTGATCAGATATAGAAAATATATCCGGCTCGCAATCTTCATGTTGGAAAAACCCCAAATTCGCCGTTTCCCGTTAGCTGATCGTGTCCTCGCTAGAGAAATAGCAGATACATCCAAACTGCTTGAATCTAGAATCCTAAATATGGCTTCTCTAGAAACCTAGAAAAAAAATCTATATTTTTGTTCTCCTTTCACTGTATTTTGTAGATATATCATAGTTTTCTGCGTGGGGCGCGTGTAAACATATCTAAATAATTTTGTGAATGACTTAGCATTCTCTCTCTGAGAACAAAGCATGTTTGTCATTCATTTTCTTTTCAGCCATTCCGTTTCGTCTGTGGAATACAGTGTTATTATAACATGGATATAATAATGCTCATAATGGGGGAAATACACAAAAAAATAAATTGGTGACTTACCCCACATATACTGGATATTATTATAAACATCCATTAAATTTTTAAGTTCGTTGCATCTTCAATCTACTTTAACCGCGGAAAAAATGCGAGGCCAGCCGGAAAAAGACAAAACTTTACGTTTTTTTTTCATAAAAAATAAACGAGACGGTACATTCGAAAATGTCATTTGATGATATAAATATTAAATTTCTCTCAGAAAATGTCTGTCTATCGTTTTTCTTTTTGAATAATTTATATATTCAATTGTCCGGAATTTTTAATTATCTGGACATATTTTTTCAACCCCTGTTCCAAGGTGTCCAAAGAAAGTGCTATACAACTGTATAACGTTTTGAACATACACTTTTTTTTACCGAATGTTTCCTCGCACGGACACGCTAATTATTATTATTATTATTCAAATACCGTATATAATCGTGTATAAGTCTACTTCATGCATTGTGCAACCCTTGAATTTTATTGTGAAAAAATCAATTTTTTTCATATAGCTTGTGTATGATGCGACCCCAGCATCTGAGCAATACTAGTAGTCCTACCGTAGTGAAATATTGTAGCAAATAAATGATCTTTATTCTGTTTTGTGCAAAGCCACTCCAAAATGGTGAGAAAAAACACTTCCAGTAAAATACCTGATACGCAGACTTAGATGCCGTACTTTTTTTTCGTTCAGTCTCGTTTACCTGCCTGCAACATAGCCACAATTTATTTCCGTTAAGGTTAGCCAAAGTTACTGTCAAGAAAAATGCATAAATTTTAACCCCTCCTGAAAAAAAAATACCCGTGTATACTGCAACCGGTTACCGAAAATGCATAATTTTTATCCTCTTCAAAAAATGACCTGGTTAAAGTGCGATTCTTTATTTTTATTTAAAAAAATCAAAAAAAAAATCTCGCACTATATTCGAGTATAGTGATTTAGCAAGCGTAGCTTAGATGTGACACAAGACCGAAAGTATGGAGCACTCAGTGAAGATCGAACTCAGTACTTCGTTTTAATTGGTCTAGCAAGAAATGCTTGCTAAACATTACGCCACGCCGATGGTGGCGACTCATACGTCCGGCCTTGGGTCACATCTAAGCTACGCTCAAAGTCACCATTAGAAACACATGTTATCGGACTGCACAAGCGTGTAGGTTAATTTCTTCCTCTTTTGTCGTTACAGGAAGATCAAAGTTTCACCCACTATTACGGCCAATCATATCAACAAATACTTTATATGAATGAAGAACATCATTTACATTATTTGGACTATTGTCCTCATTTTTGCAGCCATATTTATTACAACGTTTCGGCCGTTGTACGCTCCGACCTTCTTCAGTGGTTGGAATGTCGAACTGAACCCTTTATTTCGCTCACTGGGGTTGACTGTTCTAGTTCCACGTGCCATGTTTAATGGATGTCAGTCATCTCCTGTTAATTCCCCCTCCAAGTTCTCCATCAGGAGCCGACCAAGCATAGAAATGAATACAATATGGGAACCAGTAATAAGGAGTGTCAGAGAATAGCGATAATAACAACAAAAATTGCAATATGAGCTCTGGTAAAAATATGATATGATAACAGCAAAAATTGCAATATGAGCACTGGTAAAAAATGGTTGCTGAAGACATTAGGTTTATAATACCGAGAAATTTATGACCAGATGTTCTCAATGACACATGGTACAGTGGATTAAGTTATCTAGTTAGATCCAGTGAATGGGCCCAAAGAGTGTGAGTTCAATACCCGGTTAAGGCAGTGGAGAACTTTCAGAGGGAAATTGCATTGCGTTATTATTTTCTTTCAAGGAATAGAAACAAATCCAGACGGAACGTTTATTTGAACGCTTATTTGATATGTTTAAAAAATCCAATTGTTATTTTCGTAGCCATATCTTTTAAATTATTTTAAAAATATCGAGAAAAGATGGCAGGTTACGTTCTTTAGTTCAGACCTTCACATCAAGTTCTCACCATGCCACGTACAAAGGGTCAACTCATTCTCATACACTTTGCATTCCATTGATAAGGTGGAATTTTCACTAAGGCAGCTAGTTGTTATTTTGTGGAACACTGGTCGAGGAAGCACCCTTAATCTTAATTCTTGGGTCATTCATTATCTATCCTACATATACTCATAACATGTATTTCTTACGGCTTCTTTTTACGTCTTTACAACAAAATTATTTAGTAATACACCGCCTCGAGTGGCTCCTGGGCCTTGTATTAAGTGAACAACAGTACAGAAAATGTTTTTGATTTGTTGCGATTCAAATGAGTTTTTAGATTTAATGAATTAAAAATTCAATGAAGATTTGGAATTCAAATGAATTACAAATTGAATAAAGTTTTAGAATTCAAATGAATTATAATTTGAATGAAGTTTTAGAATTGATATATATTACAAATTGAATGAAGTTTTAGAACTGAAATGAATTACAAATTGAATGAAGTTTTAGAATTGAAATGAATTGCAAATTGAGTGAAGTTTTAGAATTGAAATGAATTACAAATTGAATGAAGTTTTAGAACTAAAATGAATTACAAATTGAATGAAGTTTTAGAATTGAAACGAATTACAAATTGAATGAAGTTTTAGAAATGAATTGCAAATTGAATGAAGTTTTAGAAAATTACAAATTGAATGAAGTTTTAGAATTGAAATGGATTACAAATTGAATGAAGTTTTAGAAATGAATTGCAAATTGAATGAAGTTTTAGAATTGAATTGAATTACAAATTGAATGAAGTTTTAGAACTGAAATGGATTACAAAATGAATGAAGTTTTAGAACTGAAATGGATTACAAAATGAATGAAGTTTTAGAACTGAAATGGATTACAAAATGAATGAAGTTTTAGAACTGAAATGGATTACAAAATGAATGAAGTTTTAGAACTGAAATGATTTATAAATTGAATGAAGTATTGGAATGGGTATGAAACAAAATTGGCTATTGTATAAACTCTTTTTCTTAGAAGTGAAATATCTCAGAAAGTTTACACGTTTATAAATAATTCGTTCTGTGTGTGTGTGTGGGGGGGGGTAGAATGAAAGCGTGTGGTGGAAAAATTTATTTTCAAAAATTCTTAAGCGCTGGGTCAGGATTATGACAGACCCCCAAATTCTTAACATTATTTCAATCTGATCACCTACGATATTGTCAAGATGTCATTTTATTCTTTGATGACATCTCTCAAACAAAAGGAGATACTTG